GGATGACGTGTGTCTGGTAGAACTGAGTCCTGATGTGTGTCCTTACAGTCTAACGCATTTGGTAGGTGTGCCCCTGTAGCGGAGAGGCAATATTACCCAGGTTATCTCCGCTTATAATCCAAGTGAGACTCAGGAACAAGTAAATAGTAAATCCAAAGGCAGGGTTTCCAGCAGGTAAAATACAGCAATATCCCAACAGCAATCCCAATAACTGGACGACACACAGTTTCAGGAGCATAACTGACAAGCCTTTAATCACAGTCTCCTTATAAAGCATGCTCCCATGCAAGGGAGGAACTTACAGTAATTATTACAGTTGCCAATCCTGTCCTGGTAACCTCCCACACATCCCCTCCCCTCAGCCAGCATCATAATCCCCTTATCCAGCACACCAATTCCCCCCGTTTCTGGATGTACCCCTAAACGTAGGGGTACCCCTTTAAATCCTACACCCCCTGATAGCCCTGATCTGGGTGAACAACATATCCAAAAATCACCCAGATCGGACCAGGGGTTCGGGAAAAGTATGGAGGGAATAAAATGACCGACCGCACGAACAGAGATAGCCGAATTCGGTTCCATGTGAATGGGCCTTGCGGTCGGTCCTGGCATAAGGGAATAAAATACACGAAAGCCTCTAGCTATAGAGGCTAGGGAGGGTTCGCCTGAATCCCCTCGTTCGGTATTTTCTATTTACCGAACGAGGGGCCGTTCGGTAGTTTGGAACCGAACGGACCAGGGCTGTGGAGGTCTCAGCGGTGTTCGCCTACTCGAGTGTCCGATTTTAGTTCCAGGCACTCGACGGCAAAACACCGCTGTTCGGGAGTTTTAAAATGGCCGCCGCCACGTGTTCGTTTGTCGAATGGCGGCCACCCCCGAGAACAAAGGACGGCTACTTACTGTTCAATTACCCGTTCGCAACAATGTTGCAACTGGTAATTGAGGACACACTTCACACAGGGAGGTCTGGTTGTTCGGTAGTTTCATTCGAATAAACTAAGGGAATGAAACTACCGAACAATCAGAGGAATACAATTCTTTTTAAATACACAGAAATTACAGCAGATACAGGTCTGCAGCTTTATACAGTATTTCTTGTAGGGTCGCCTGGTGCCATCTGCTACACTGCTCCCACTTGCCCACAAGCCGGCATACACAGTCTGATCCAACACGGATCGGCTTGGCCGCTTGGGGATGTCCGGGGAGGCCCACGGATCATTTCTCTAGGTCAGTTTGTCGAGACAACCCATCAGCATTTCCATTCTGTTTACCCGGGCGGTACTGGATATTAAAGTCAAAGGGCTGCAGCGCCAGACTCCAGCGCAGCAGCCGGGCATTGTCCCCAGCCACCCGGTTTAGCCATACTAACGGGTTGTGATCCGTGAGCAGGGAAAAAGCTTGTCCGTACAAATATGGCTGTAATTTCTTCAGGGCCCACACCACAGCCAGGCATTCTTTCTCGATGGCGGCGTAGCTTACTTCTCGAGGTAACAGTTTCCGGCTGATGTAAGCCACGGGATGTTCTCCGCCATCGGCCCCGACTTGGCTTAATACTGCTCCCAATCCAAACATAGAAGCGTCTGTGTGGACAAGAAAACGTTTAGTTGGATTGGGAGCGGCCAAGACAGGGGCATTTGTCAATGCATCTTTTAACAACTGAAATGCCTGTTCACACTCCGGGGTCCAGGTTACTTGGCGGGGTAGGTTTTTACGGGTCAAGTCGGTGAGAGGTTTGGCCAGGGCACTGTAATTCGGGACAAATTTCCGGTAGTATCCGGCCGTTCCTAAGAACGCTAACACCTGGGTCTTAGTCCTAGGGGTGGGCCATTGAGCTACAGCCTCTACTTTGGCGGGTTCCGGCTTTTGCTTGCCGCATCCTACCCGATGACCTAGGTACTGTACTTCAGCCATTCCTATGCTGCATTTGGCTGGTTTCAGCGTTAAACCAGCGGCCCTAATCCTATCTAGGACCGCTCCTATATGGGTCAGGTGTTCCTGCCAGGTATTGCTGAAGATGGCAATATCGTCGAGGTATGCGCAGGTATAATCCTGGAACCCATCTAGGAGGCGGTCCACCATCCGCTGAAAAGTAGCCGGGGCGTTTTTCATCCCAAACGGCATGACCTTAAATTGGTACAAGCTGAATGGGGTGACAAAGGCCGACTTAGGGATGGCGTCCTGTGCCAAGGGTATTTGCCAATACCCTTTACACAAGTCAATTGTGGTAAGATAGTGCCCCCTTGCCATCCGATCCAGGAGTTCGTCTATCCTGGGCATCATTTAATCTCCGGTAGTCTACACAAAACCGGGTCGTGCCGTCCCGCTTTGGTACTAGGACTACCGGAGATGCCCAGGGGCTGTCCGAGGGCTCAATCACCCCCAGCTGGAGCATCTCGTCTATCTCCTTGCGCATGTTCGCCCGTACCGCTTCTGGGATGCGGTACGGGGTCTGACGCATGGGAAGTTGCCCTGGGGTGTCTACTCGGTGAGTGGCCAGAGGAGTGTAACCAGGTACATTAGAGAAGATATCCTGCTTCTCCCTCAACAGCTGTTGTACCTCGCTCCGCTCCTGTGGGCTCAACCGATCCCCCAGGGTGACCTCCCCTAAGTCCCCGGATAACTGACCCTCTCCCAGCAGATCCGGGAGAGGTAAACTGTCAAACTCTTCGGAGTTAGGCGCACATATAGCGGTCACTTCCTCCGAGCGCTCCTGGTAGGGCTTCATCATGTTCACATGGAGCATGCGTCGCCCCCCAGTACCAACGCACGAGCCGATTATATAAGTGGTGTCACACCGTTGTTCCACCACCTTATAAGGGCCCTGCCAGGCGGCCTGCAGCTTATCGTGTCGGACAGGTTTTAAGATTAACACCTTCTGCCCGACCTGAAAGCTACGGTCCCTGGCGCCCCGATCATACCATGTGCGTTGGCGTGTCTGAGCCGCCTGCAAATTCTCGCGTACCGTCTGAGTTAAGGCCTCAAGGCGGTCTCGGAATGCCAACACATAGGGTATGATGGGGGTACCGTCAGTGCTCCGTTCTCCCTCCCAATGCTCTCTGATCAAATCTAAAGGCCCTCGTACCCTGCGGCCAAACAATAGTTCAAATGGGGAGAACCCAGTGGATTCCTGCGGCACCTCCCGGTAAGCAAAGAGGAGGTGCGGCAGGAACTTCTCCCAGTCCTTGTGGGTCTCTGCGAAGGTTCGGAGCATTTGTTTCAATGTACCGTTGAAACGTTCGCAGAGCCCATTCGTCTGGGGGTGGTAAGGGGAACTAATGACCGGCTTAATGTCACAAAACTTCCAGAGGCGCTGCGTGACTTCGGCGGTGAACTGGGTGCCCTGATCGGAGACAATCTCCCTCGGGAGTCCCACCCGGGAGAATATCTTCATCAGGGCTTCGGCTACTGTCTCAGCCTGTATATTGGTCAGGGCCACCGCCTCTGGATATCTGGTGGCATAATCTACTACTGTCAGGATAAATCTTTTACCTGACGGGCTGGCTTTGTTGAGGGGTCCTATTAAGTCAACTGCTACCCTGCTAAAGGGTTCCTCGATTATGGGGAGGGGATGTAACTTGGCCTTGCGCCGGTCCCCCCTTTTCCCCACCCTTTGACAGGTATCGCACGTGTTGCAATACCTGCGCACCTCCTGGCTAATTCCCGGCCAAAAGAAACTTTGGGTTAACCTGTATCGGGTCCTGCTGACCCCTAAATGTCCAGATAGCGGAATGTCATGAGCTATCCGTAGTAACTCCGCCCGGTACCGCTGAGGTACCACTAACTGCCTCATCACAATCGGGTCTGACCCGGATACCTGCTTATCCGTCTCCCGATATAACAGCTGGTTGTCCCAAATAAACCTCTCGCCCTCCCCCCCAGGCGTGTCTGCTGTCACCTTGTCCCTATACACCTGCAAGGTGGGGTCAGTCACTACCTCAGCTGCAAATTCGTTAGGAGGGGCCCAGGGAACACAGTCAAGGGAAGGGGAAGGATCTCTTACCTGGACCTCCGGGAGTGTGTTGTAGTCCTGGGTGCGGGCCTGTTGTCGAGTGACCACAGGGTGAGCTTCTCCTGTGGTGGGTGTCTGGGGCTCAAAAGCAGATGTGAGCCTCCCCAGATCGTTCCCCAATAAAACCTCCGCCGGTAACTGCGGCATCAACCCCACCTCCACATGCCCTGCCCCCGCTCCCCAATGCAAATGTACCCTTGCTGTGGGTAGCCGGTATACTGCTCCCCCGGCTACCCTGACGGCCACAGTCTTACTAAGTTTAGCTTGGTCTGAGACCAGGTGACTTTTTACCAGGGTGATGGTGGCTCCTGAGTCACGTAGCCCCTGAACCGCTTTACCCTCCAGATACACGGTCTGCCTGTGGTGCTGGCGGTTGTCTGCGTTAGCCTGGATGGGATCTGCCTCGTGCAGTACCTCCCACTGCTCTACGGTTGTGATGGGAACTGCTGAACCATACGGTGTGGCCACGATGTCCTGGTAGTGATGGGCTGTGGCGGCTCTCGGTGGTGGTGGTGGACCGGGTCGGATCCAGGTGGAACGGTCCCGCAGCTGGGGGCATTCCCTTTTATAATGTCCCCACTTCTGGCAGTGGTGGCAAGGGCCCGACGTGGGCTGGCGGAAACGTGGCTGTGTAGCGGGTGGTGGTGGTGGTGGTAGTGACC